AGGGGCGAGGCTCGGTGGAGGCATATGGTGGTGCTGCTGCCGTTTAGGGGAAATGAGGAGGTGGTGGTGGAGTGGAGGGAGGCAGGTTGGGCGGCGGTTTCCAGAGGGAGAGAGGGGGAGGAGAGAATGGGGGAAGAGGTAGGGTTGATTTAAAGATATAATTAATATTAATTTAATTGAGGTGAAATATATAATTAATATTAATTTAAAGATAAAAAACCTGATTTTTGAAAAGTTAAATATGTAACCTGATTTTTGAAAATGGATATCTAAAATCAGGCCTAGGTGTAATTTCCTCATTCCATATGGGAAAATTAGGCCATATACCCTAAAAAATTAACTAATTTGATTAATACCCTATTAACTAACTAAATTATTTAAAAACGTAATTAATACATTATAAAATCTCCCGACCCCTGAATACGACCAATTCATGGCTACTAAAATCGATGGAGTTCAATTGGGAGTGGAGAGAGTGTTGTTGGAACAAGTTGCAACAGAATAGTAAGCAACGTTTCATTTGATGCATTTGATTTGGTCTCTTTTGGAACCCAAAATGCTGCTTCCTTGTTTTGCCCAAAGGTTTACTTCCTTTCTCACTGTTTATTGCTATCCATGTAAATTCCAGCACGAAAATTCAAGTAATTTAGCTCTGATGCTCACGTAATCAATCAATTTTAGTATAAGCTGATGAGTTTGTGTATAAATGCATAAAAAATTTGTCGTTAAATTTGGGATTAGCTCCAAAATTATGGCAAACTATTTCCTTTGATTTTCTAAGCTACCATCAAGATGTTTGACAAAATGTCTCAATTGTTCTTGCACTCATTTTTCTCACCGTTGTAGGAGCGGTGGTTGCCAATTCCTTGTCAAGCATCTCTCAATCTTCATCACCTTTACTTTTGCAGGATTACTGGGGGCTAGTGAACCTACATACGATTTGTCTGTTGGAATGTAATTACATTGTCAAATAGTAAAGCTCGGGCTTTATTATACGAATTTTACTGGAAACACTTTGATTGCCATGTACTCAAAGTTTCATCTTATTGAAGAAGCAGAGATGGTGTTTAGGCTGATTGTGGAGAGAGATGTTATTTTGTGGAATACTCTTATTATTGCTTGTTGTCATTGCGATGATGAGTCTAACGTTTTAAGTGTTTTTAGGGAGATTGTGATGGACACGAATGTGAAAGCCGATGATTTCACTTATGCCAGTGTGCTTTCTACAGCTGCTGGTCTAGCTTCCATGTGTCATGGGAGGGAGAGTCATGCTCATTTAATTAGGACCAGGTCAGTGTGGGATGTGGGTGTTGGTAATGCACTTGTGAACATGTATGCTAAGAGTGGCTGCCTTGGCTATGAGTACAGAGTTTTTGACCAGAGTACCATAATCTTGTCTCGTAGAATAGCATTATTGTTGGATTTGCA